GAGGAGTCTGCTAAATTACACGTAGACGACGAGCTTGATGAAGTGCTGCACAAGGACGTGAAGACAGTGGGACCGACTTCGAAGAAAGCACAAAATGAGACTGCTGGGGACGTTCAAGAGCCTATGACACGAGATGCGATCTTGCGGCGGCTGAAGGAGAGCCGAAGTCGAAACCTAGAACCCTCACGTCCGGGGCCAGCACTTGGAGAACGCTTCAAAAAGGTGACCTCGGACAGGCCAAACAAGAAGAAATTCATCGAAATCATCAATGGGCGGCGAAGGGAGGTACTACTCATCACCAATAAAGATGGAACGACAAAGAGGAAGACCCGATGGATTGACAAAGAAGAGGACATCCCAAAAGGCGATTTAAACCAGCCTCTTGGAATGGAAGTACCAGCTGAACTTCGGGCCAAGCAACAGGCCCTTTTGGACCAGCAAGCGGCTGAAGATGAAAACGACGATATTTTTGAAGGTGTGGCCGATTACAATCCCCTCGCCAGCATTATCAGCGAGTCAGAAGATGAAGCCGGCGACAAGGAGAGAGCAGCAACGATTAACGCCACCGAGAAGACGGTTGCATCGACGAGCAACAAGCCGCGAAATTACTTTGCAACAAGCAATCAAGAGGAAGCAGCCGAGGACCGCACCAATCCGATTTTGAAAGATCCCACACTCCTTTCGGCTCTTAAGCGGGCGGCGGGCCTACGAAGAAATGAGGAGGCTGGTGGGGACGCAGTTGTCGAGTCAGGTCCCGACAAAGCCGACAGGCAGCAGCAATTGCTGGCTCGGCTGACAGAACGGGACCGAGCAGATGCTGCGGATCTCGATCTAGGATTTGGTGAAAGTCGGGTTGGCGATGAGGATGACGAGGACGGAGCTGGTTGGGGCGAGGGCGAAGGGTCAGGGAAGAAAAGTGGACGGAAGCGTGGTCCAAAGAAACGCAAGGGCGATAAAGACAACGTGAGCGACGTGATGGCAGTGCTTCAAGGCCGTGAGAAGAAGCCCTGAAGCCTGAAATCGGAAAACCAGTCCACCTACTATAAGTATCTAGACCTGACATCCTCGCCGAACCTCGTAAAGTTTCGCTTCTGCATGACATTTGAACGCGTGGCTGTTAGACGAAATGACTTTGACAATTGTCTTTGAGCTAGACGACAATGACAAGTACTCCGTCCAATACGCACGTTGTTTGAAGCAGTCCACATTACGGTAGTGGGTAGATTGCCCAGAGACCAACTGCGGCTACATACCTAGGATCCCTGAGCGGGTACGGAGTGCTGGACCATTTCTCCTCTCCCTGTTGATATGGTGCGGACTTCCGGGATGGCAGAGAGGTCAGGTTTCCAAGACGACGGAGGGATGATGGGGTTGATATATCCAGGAGCCTGGCCAGTACTACCGAGTGCTGTACCGAGTAATTAGTAGATACGGAATAACTACTCCGGATTGGAGATAATGCGTAGATATTAATTACTAGCATCACTAGTAGATCCTGTACTGGTAGGTATGCCCTAGGTACTGTAAGTCCTTAAGTGCAAGCCTCTTAGTAACTTGTAGGTACTCTCGGTACTTACAGGGAGGGTATTACTCGGTGCTTAAGTTGGCAGCAATGCGATGACGTGTCGATGCCAAGCCCCTCCCCTTCCCCAGTCGCCCACCACACATTTGGATTTGAATTCCCTCGCCTTCATCAACTTTCTCATGTTACTACAGTACATGCTGAGATACCTCTCCATCGCTGTTGTACATAAATCTATCAGCCCGCATCAACATTCATGTTTCTCTCTATGCTGAGATGATGTCCCGCCCCATGGCAAAAGTCGATCTCCGGATCTGGACTGTTCTCCGTTGTCTGCAAAGCTCTAAGCAAGGGTGGCTGCGTGGCTTGCGGGTACCTGACAGTAGGTAGCGTGGCCGCTGGCCAAGCCAACGCCTATCGAACCATTCGATAGCCTAGCCGGTCTCGCCAGCTCCCCGGTTTGCTGGTGCTCCTTTTTGTGGCTGTTTCCCCTGCATTGCCGGCCCCAGTGGGTGGTTTCAGGCCGGATCCTACCAATCTGGACGCTGACTGGCTTCGGAATCACAAGGCCCCTGCGGCGATGGCCTCCTCGCCAACTGACCTCGCCTGTTATGCCGCTTTCCCCTTTTCTAGTCCGGGGTGGGCATCGTGGGACCCCATTCCAGCACCAGGGTAGCTAGGCCCACGGTCACTGCTCTCCTGATGACATGTTATTTATGCGTTTTCTCTTCCTGTCACCAGCAAAGAGGGTCCTGAAAAGACTCGTCTCTTATACCAGTGGGGAACATGCGGTCAACCATCTACTGGGGTCATCGTCGCACGAAAGACCACCATGAAACGTGCCAACCCATTTTGCTGTCGTATTCACAATTCTCTCTCAACCCCTTCCACCATGTGCTCCATCCACCCCTCTGCTGGCAGAGTTATAACTTTGAGGTTCTTGTCGTTTCAGTTGCGTCCCCTTCCTTGTGTTTTCTACCCAGCTTTCTTCGTCCTCGCAGGCTCCCAGACACGTTTTGTGCGACACATTGCACTTCGTCTTTCCTTCAGCAAGGCTAGTCCTTCGTTCTATCATTCGCCAACGCCGGAGCTACGCTCGTGGCCGCCCATTCACCCAACTAGGTCCTTCATTGATTGAATCGCTACCGAATTCCCCAGGCGGGCCGCTTATAAACAACGCATATACTATACTTCCACTGCCTTTCTGCAAGGGTACCTGTCAGACGCTATCTCTGTCCCAAGCTTAGTCATCTGATCTCCAACATGGTTACCAAATTCTTCTCTGTGGCGTTGCTTGCTACAGCCGTCCTGGCTCACCCCAAACGACACGATCGATTTCACTATGGTGTTGGAAGCGGCACAGGGGCTGGCTGGGCTATGCCAACTGGTGGGGTGTACCCCATGAATGGTACACACACCAAGGGCTCAGACTCTGGTGCCTCAGCAGCGGGGGCCCCATCTTCTATCGTGGCCACGGCCGTCAAGACTGTCACCGTCCAGCCCGTCCCGCTCGAGTCATCTTCTCCCGATACAGCTACGGGCTTCTCAAGCGTCCCCGAAGTCGCAGCAGTCGCATCCAACAATGACTACACAAACACAGGCGTTGCTCCAGCCTCCGGCACCGTATCATCTTGCTATGTCTTAACTTCCACCATAACTGCCACATCTGTTCAGTATATCACCGTAACAGCCACTGCTGGTGTTGACGGATCAGAAGATTCAGGCAAGAACTTTGGTAGCCCTTCGAGCTCTGTAGCATCTGCTCCCTCTGGAGGTGCAGGCCAGGGCTTTGGCGCTGCTCCTTCAAGCCCTTCAAGCTCGACGGCAGCAGCAGCTCCTAGTGGCGGCCCAGGGGAATTTTTCGGTGCTTCCTCAAGCTCGGTCCCAGCCTCGTCTACTACGCTCAGTGGACCAGACGGCCTCTCTCCCTCAAGTTCGATCAGCCTCATCGCTGGTACCCCCACTGCTGGAGAGTTTTTTCCCAACCCAGGAAGAAGTACAAGCGCCCCGGCCGTCGGTGGTGGCCCTTCTGTATCCTTCCCATCCGTGCCATCCTATGGCGGCCCTTCGTCATCTGCAGTTCCAACAACCTTCGCCACTGTGACCGGTGGGTCTCCGGCTTCAAGCCCTGCAACCAGTGCCTCTTCTTCGTTGGCCACCTCAAGTCCCAGCTCCTCCCCGAACACTGGGTCGACTTCTGGCAAACGTGGTCTCTCTTATAACGATGCCTCCCTGACTGAGGCCTTCGCTGGCAAGGGCATGAGCTGGGCTTACAACTGGGACGCCTCGCCTGGCGGCCAGATTGTCTCCGGTGCAGAGTTTGTTCCCTTGCTCTGGGGTCAGAACTCTGTCTCGGGTTGGGCCAGCGCTGCCCAGGCTGCCATCGCCAGTGGATCCAAGCACGCCTTGAGTTTCAACGAACCTGACCTCGCCTCCCAATCAAACATTGATCCTGCCACAGCTGCCAAACTGCACATCGCCAACATGAACCCACTCTCTGGCCAAGTTCAAATCGGTTCTCCTGCCATCACCAATGGTGCAGGGACCAGCCCCCTCATGGGCATCGACTGGCTCAACGCATTTTTTGAGGCATGCAATGGCCAATGCAAGGTCGACTTTGTTGCTTTCCATTGGTACGACTCAGCTAGCAACATGGCCTATTTCCAGAGCCATGTCCAGGATGTCATCACCGCCGCCAAAGCTAATGGCATTAACAAGGTCTGGCTTACTGAGTTCGGTGCAACTGGCTCAGACAGTGACGTTGCCAATTTCCTGACTGAGGCCATGGATTTCCTCGACTCGACTGATGCCGTTGAGAGGTACGCCTACTTCATGTGCTCAGATGGCATCCTCGTTGACGGCTCTTCGATCTCATCCCCCGTGGGCGCCGCTTACGCTGCCTAAAGAGGACATGATGTTTCGCTATTCCTTTCTGACAAAGTTGCGTGTTTCCAAATTTGTTCGAGCATTCACGCCCCCAGTTGAATTTTTTATCCTTCTATGTATATATATTTTTTGGCAAAAAAACCATTGTGGGTCGATTTGTTTTTATACTTCGAGCTGACGGAACTCACCATTTGAGGGGACCATCGCGGTGAGGAACCGAAATACATGTACTCACTCGGCAAATTTGGGATCACAGGAACATTTTAAATGGGGAGCTTCATCATGACGGGTCATTTGTCTGGAAAGAAAAAGCAGATTTTGGATAGAAATCGAAAGATCAGATCAAACTAACATTATCATCTCACGACGAACTCTTAACGGCTCAACGAAGAGAACATCATCAATCGTATCAAGCCATTGAAATGAAACTTTCAGAAAATATCTCTCTTCTCATTTCTGAACTACCTTGCTTCCCTTTTATATATTGTTCACTCACATTTAAATGTGAGCATTTTCGAATCCTTCAGATGGGGCTAATACTATCCTTTTTACCTAACATACTGACAGTCAGATGTAAAACATTACAGTCGCGCTATGCGTCCTCTTCCTCTACCTTTATAGCGTCAATTCCGTACCACTTATGCGTTTCTCCTCCCCCCTGCCCGATATTCCACCAGCCCAACCTATATCTATATCGCCCGTCACACAGTCCCTTTCCTCTATTTTCCATGACTCCCTTCCCCACAGGATCGTCCAAGTCGCACATTCTACTCCACGCGAACAGAGCCGCCACGCCCGCAATAGTACACGGATTGAAGGGTAATATCTCACGTAGCTTGGAACAGTATGTGGCGAGAGAGGCAAGCACGAAGATTAACCCCAGTTGGACCTGGAGAATGACTTTCGCGGTTCGATCTTGCACGATGCGGGCTTGGACTGTCGCGTCTAGGAGTGTGCCTGTCACGGTTGTTGTGCGGTTCTCGGGGGGCACTCGCATGTTGCTTGATATGGCCTGTGCCATGTACCGACGGTAGAACCCGCGGATGCCACCAAAGACCTGTGAGATGTCTGCTTCACGGCTGCTCGCCAGAAGAGAAATGTCCAGCGGCTGCTTGCCAAAGAGGACGCCTTGAAAAAAGTTGTCCAATGGGCTTGAGCTTTCCGCGAGTGTGGAAGTGTTGTTCGCAGTCTGGTTGAAAGAGGAGAATTCATCGTCCATGTGCAGTTGTAGACGGAACTGGAACGCTGTCTCGCCGTCTGCACTGCTCAGGAGTCGTTCCGCGGAAGAGTCATTCACAACGGGGGGTTGAATGGTGGGAATAGCCAGATCGGGCCAGGTGAAAGTTACATTCGCTGAAACTTGATCAATATACTGAGAGCACATCAAGGTCGTCATCGCTGTCCTAGATGGGGCATTGACATCTGCATATCCATAGACGAATGCTAGAGAAGGGCATCCAGGAGGATTGTCCGCCTGTGTGTTCGGCGAGAGCTCGCCAAAGCTAGAATCCTGTATGGGATCGAATGGGCCCACATGCAGATCCAGGAGCTTCCCGACATAACTCGAGTTCCCACGCAGTGTAAAAGTGTTACTGAACTGAATGTAATTTGCCGTTCCATTTGTGCCGCCGAACAGACACGTTGGTGGTAACGGTGCCACAGCAGACACTGATGCCTGCGCCGTCTCGATCCTGAGATTATAGTCTACCGATACATTCACCATATCACTAGCCAGTTCCACGCACTGCAGATCGCTGCGCAACGCTGGAAGTCGTATTTGCACAGTTGAGTTGGGCTCATTATCGCTTTTCGCCGACATAACAGGCTTCAGGGATGGCAGGGCTAGTTCTCCGTATGTGAACTGTGGATAGTCCAGACCTAAACTTTCCGTTAAGCTCGCTATAACTGCTGCCGAGCCATCGTCCTTGACACTGTTAATCCAATTGGGCTTGAAAATGTCTGAACGATCTAAAGAGACTGTCTGAGACAAATGCAACCTGTCGACAGTATACAGGCCGGAAACCACAATAGTCAGAACACTTGCGACAAGGCTGGCAATCCCAGATAGGAAAGGCCCCCATTGGCGGTGTCGCAGTGACCTCCAAATGGCAAGCGGAGGGGGATGACCTAGATTTGAAGTTGTAATGCTTCTCAATAACGAATGGCGATCCTCGGAACGGAGCGCATTGTATGGGGCTAAAACGGCAATATTGAAATCGAGAGCATTGATCATGGTGGCGACTAGCAACATCAACAATGCTGGGAGGAACCGGGTATATATGGAAATGGAAGTGTCGGTCGAATCAGGGACAGCAACGAATCCATGCCGTTCATCAGAAACTTGCTGTACTGCTTCGAGAGCTCCAACAGTTGCCAGTGGGATGACGAGGCTGATGACGAGAATTGGAGTTTTCAGCGTGAGGGGACTCCACCACGCCTTCCAATCATTTCGAGATATATCGTTGTTGTATGTGGCATCCTGAGACCGTGCAGACGAGGATGATAGCGCGAGAGAGACGACATGATCATCGTCATCAAACGCTCGACGCTCCGCACTGAATCTAAAGTCTTGTAGTTTGGCATTGACCTCATCATCCCCACTGAGCCCAACCCGTCTCAATGTATCCCTAAACTCGACGCTATGGGCCAAGAGCTCTGCAGTCCTGCTCGAGGACTCGGGATCATGGGGACAAAGATTTTTCGGTCGCTTCCATAGGAGAAATAACGTAAACAAAGCCATTACGGCGCTTCCCGAGAACATCACCCAGAGTGAAAAATCGCTGATCTGGAGCCTCTCTTCGTTTCGGAGGAAGGTGCCTGGGAGCGTTGTGTTGTCACTGCTGACGATGTACTTAGCAGCTGATTGAAGAGCAACTTGTTGAAGAACCTTCTCCGCGGCTGTGATCATGGTCTTCTCATTCAACAAATCTTCGTAAGTGCCACCACTCATGGCAGCCATCATTTTGAAAAGTACGTTCGGGTACTCAAGAACCTCTTGGTTATCTACCAGATTGCCGAACATATCTGCGCTGGCACTCAGAGCCGAAGTAGTGAGAACACCGAGGTCGAAGCCTGTAAAATTTCCAAGTACGGTTGTGTTGCTGTCCCCTGTACGAGCCGCGCGAATGCCTCGAGGAACACTCTGGAAATCATAGGATAACTGAATCTTTTCGATTGAAAAACCCGATCTACAGGCAATGCCAACCACCTCTGCCACGCCCGTAGACCAAGCCGTTGCAGAGATTGGGTCTCCCAAAGTCAGGCCGCTCGCATTGGCAATCGTTTGATTGTAGCGAAAGTCCGTCAAGGTCAAAAGTTGCCAATTATCTTGGCTCCCCGGAGAGGTCTGCGTGTTGCAATCAATTTGCTGCAATAGAGGACTCAGCTGACGTTCTGGACAAACGAACGTCTGTGGATTGAGAGCATAGACGGGGGTCCCTTTCCCATCGGCTCGTAAAGTGCATTCGGGAAATAGTAACTGGAGAGTATCTTCGGGATGTAGATCTGTCACATTTGCCGGCTGAAGATTTACTGCCACGGGGGCACTTTCGCAGTGGTATGTGGGAACAAGGGCACGAACCTCTGCGCTAACCGTTCCATTGATGTCTCGAGTCTGCTGCGGTAAATTGAACGCGCCAATTTGTTCATACACCATTTCAGTTGTCGTCCCATCTGCATAAGGTAGACCCTTGTTCATGGCAGCATAGGCAGTATACACGATCGATGGGTCGAAAAGTCCTTGATTGGCTGACGCATCATACAGTGAACCGTCCAGCTTTGTGATTCTTGAGACTTCAACTTGACTGCTAGGCACGGTTATGGAGCTCGGAAAAAGAAGGCCCGTGGAGGCAACAGTGATCAACTTGAGAACAACGAAACCAAGTATGGTGGCGATAACAGTGAAGTGTCTGTTTTTGGCTGCGTTGTAGAAGCTTATAATTTGTAAGGGAGACTTGTAGTCGAGAAGCACACTTTTCGACGGATGAGCGTTTCCTCGATACAGCTCATCCCACGGTGCAAGGGCCTTGCAGTAGTAATCGATCTGCCGCCAGGCAGCCACGACTATTGTGAGCACTGCGGTCGGCCCATATGTCCATGTAAAATGATTTGAGGTCCGGAGGGTTAGGCCGTCATCTGCTTTGGCAAAGTATAGCAAGAGCAGCAAGACCGCAATGAAAGCAAAGAAGGTCGATGCTGTTGCCGAGAGGAAGCTTGTACGTAGCCATATCGGGTTCCATATCCATGCGTTCGATTTTGAAGCGGCAGAAGCAACTCCCAGCTCAGTTTGCACGGAGGTGGTGCTCTTTTTCTGCTGGGTACGTAAAGCATCCTCCGGGGTTGGGGAACGAGAGTCTGATCTCGATAGCAATGAATGTAGGAGCTGTTGCCGAGCCCAGTCCATAAAGTGCTGAGGCATTTCATGCACACAATGCCGAAAATAGGAAGATATCTCAAAAGGAAAGAGTTGGACAATCTTTGCTCTGCGACCGTACAGAACGGAGCGATTATTGGGACATTGCGAAAGTATATTTGCTGAGATGGGAGAGAGTGCTCTCTCGTGTCCCAGGTATATCGACGCTACGGCCAATGATTTGGCCGGCGCTTAGCTGGATCTCTTTCCTGCTGCTTCGGCATATGAGAATAGTGGCCATCTGAAGCTACAGCTTCCAATGTTGTTGAGTTTCTGATTATGGCGCGAGTGTCTTCGTTTTCAACTTGTTCCATCTCCGATGAGGATGTTTCGCGCAATCTCAAGCAAGTCTGCAGCCCAATGCAGTCAATCAACAGCACCATTGTTTATCCACTGAAGGTCAAGCACTAAATCCTGTGCTGCGGCAGCGACATAAGAGCCAGAGACCACGGTGCTAAGTAAAGAAGTCTAGTGGCGGCTGTTGAAACAATAAGCAATGTCGCAGATCTAGGTCTCTCTTGGTCGCTCCTAACAATATCAGGTCTCTTATTGGTCAGCCTCGTCGATGCGACCAGCCTGATTCCCATATCGATACCGCGTCTGTATAAGTGCACATCATACATTTTTCTTCGACAGATACCCTAGGTAGCAGAATTGTTTCGACACAGCAGGCCCTTAACAAGGCCGCTCGTGTCGGAAGAAGTCGCATTGTGGAATGACGCCGTTCACAACTGCATGGGGTGAAGTACTTGCGCCAGCCCAGTTAGAGTGATTCTCCCTTCACGTAATCCTCGATCCGGAGTTTGTTCTGTGCAAAGCAGTAGGTGCATGCTTCTAGGAGACTACTCAAAGCCATTCGTCTCGCTTACATACTTAGAGAAGTAGAAGTGGTTGCCTTGAGCCAACATCGAACTGCATGGAACGATGTCTTCGATGACATGGCGTTGATTTGTATGGCTGGGTTCTCGCTATCATGCTGGGGTAGTAAATATCGTTCATGACGTTGATCCGGCCGATGAGCAGCAACTCTTTACTTCCAAGATGGCAGGCACTGCTGCCACATGCCTAGGAACTCCATACGCTCGTCGCACAGGGCGGGATCGGCTCCTTGAAATAGCTCTGTAGAGGAGATGCCTGCAGCTATTATTGCAAGCAGGGTTAGAAGCAAAGCGCGACGAAATTGAAACTTTCAGTTGTGTAGACGGGGCTTAAATTCCTTTGGCTGAACGTCAATTCCTCTATCGAATCAAGTCGAAGCCCTCTTCAGCCCTTGCTCTGCAGTCTCGATAAGAGGAAGTAGATTCTTCTCCCTCAATGTAGGCAGCAGACTCAGAAATGCTTCGCGTGACTTCGCCTTGTCGCCATTGTCCAGCAACAAATCGGCACGGGTCATCTGGGCGGAGATCAAGGCCGCGGTGCAAATTTCATCGCGGTCTTCAGGCTTGATAATGTCAGCCGTTGCGATCGCTTGGTCTGCCCATCTCAGCGCTGCTCGTCTTCCGGCCGCTAGCGTGTCTTTGGATGCTGGCTTCCCATTGATCTTCGCTGTTGGTTTCTTCAATGCCATGTCCATGGTGGATGCAATGTTGCTGAGAACCTGAACTTCTTTGCAGTATCTAGTGCCATTACACGACGCTCTCAGCGGTTGCAGAGTGAGCATATACAGCTGAACGGCGTTTTCCTCTTCCCCCGACGTAGCATATAGATCGCCCATTTGAGATAGCATTGCAGCAATCTCACCAGTAGTCAATCCCGCACCGTTGTCCTCCGTGAACGTATTGATCTGAGGGTTCTTGGTCTCCTTCACAACGAGGCCAACAGCATCCGACAATACCTGTTTGGCCATGCCAGGATCCTGGATATAGTCACTTTCGTACATAGACGATATCTTGATCTTCAACTTGACGATTCCCTTGATGAGATTCGCACGAAAATTTGCAATCTCAGGGTCCAGCCCCGATGGAGTATCTGTCTTGATCGACTGTGCTTGGTCAAGTTCAGCCAGTTTTTGTTGCAGGTCGGAGGAGATGCCATCCAGAATTTCGATGGCAGCCTTCACGTGCCCGAACTCCTCCAGCATTTGGGAGAAGCGGACTCGAATACCCACCGTCTCTTTGCTGTAAGGGTCCATCCCTACCTCCTCAGCCTTTTTGATTGCTTGCATGAAGTACTGTGACGCAGTATCTGGGTCTGGGGAGATGTGGGTGTAGTGCAAGGCTAGTCGTAGTTGATCTTCCACAGCCGGAGGATACACTGAGGTGCCTTTCTTCTCTCTTCGCCATTGATCATATGCCATGATAATCAGCAAGATCACTGATGCCGTCGAACCAAAGAGCAGGAAGGGAAAGAGGATGGGGTGTTTGACTCGAGCATCGATGACCGCCTGCTCGAATCGGTTCGGAGGTCTAGCGTATTTCCTGGCATTTCTCGACTGAATTCGTGTGTTGAGAGAGGGTGTGCTCCGAACGAGAGGCCGGACTTGCGACAAGCTGGAGAAGCTATTGACGGAAGCTCGAGAGGGACCGGTTCGTGCAGGTCTGAAGCTGCGAAGTATTTGACCGGTAAGCATACTGGACTTCATATTGGCGATGGCAGCAATGTGGATGTAGAGAGCAAGAAGGAAAAAGGCAAACAGAGAATGCGGCAGGATGAATTGATGATTTACTGTTTTGACGCGAATTTTCGCAGTTCTACCCCAGATTTTCGCGATCACGGCGGCGACGTCACAGGCATCGCACCCCAACAGCCGCCACCATTCGTATTTCCTTCGTATTTGTGAACCGCATCTGCACATCTGCACATCTGCACCTTTCATTCCCTCCTTAATACTTTTGCAGTGCCAAAATGTGCGGGCGGTACGCATTAGGCCTTCGTGCCGCATTTGTCCGCTACCAGCTCCAACAACAGGGCATGCCTGTTGACGATGCCCCCGATGACGACGAAGCCCGCGAAACCTACAATTTCCCCCCCGGATCCTTTGGCCTTGTCTACCGAGCAGATATTCCCGACCAAGGCGTTAGGGACACTGGAGAGGTGGAAACTAGTGATACTCCGGAAAATGACGGTCAAGCACAGGGACAGGAACAAGAACAAGAACCGCAGGAGTCAACTGCACCCACATCCAGTGAGCCGAAGCACTATAATTACCAGCTCAAGGTCATGAAATGGGGCCTGATTCCCTTCTGGACCAAACGCGCACCCGATTACGGCTCTATGCTGCGCACCATCAACTGCCGCGACGACTCTCTGCTGGAGAACCGGGGCATGTGGAACACGATGAAGCAGAAGAAGCGCTGCTTGGTCGTGGCGCAGGGCTTTTACGAGTGGCTGAAGAAGGGACCAGGCGGAAAAGAGAGGATACCTTATTTCGTCAAGAGAAAAGACGGCAATTTGATGTGGTTTGCTGGACTGTGGGACTGCGTCAAGTACGAGGACACAGAGGAGAAGTTGTACACCTACACTATCATCACTACGGATGCAAACAAGCAGTTACAGTTTTTGCATGATCGAATGCCAGTCATTCTGGATCCGGGGACAGAAGCAGTCAAGATGTGGCTGGATCCGACAAGAAACAAATGGAGCAAGGAACTCCAGGCGACTCTGAAGCCGTATGAAGGCGAACTGGAATGCTATCAGGTGGACTCAGCCGTGGGAAAGGTGGGAAACAATTCACCCAGCTTCATTGTTCCGATCGACAGCAAGGAGAATAAGAAGAATATTGCGAATTTCTTCAGCAACGCCAGTGCGAAGAAGCCCAAAGATAAAGTCGAGGAAAAACCAGAAACGAGCCGAGCTGCCGTTGAAGATGCTGAGGGCGAAAACAAAGACTCACCACTGCCCGAAACTCCTGCGCCGATTGAAGAAAAGCAAGGACAAAAGAGGCAGCATGATGATGAACCCCAGGAAAGTCCGACCAAAAAACAAGCAAAGCTCTCCTCTTCCCCTACGCAGACTTTGAAGTCTCCTCCGCCCAAGACGACTCTCAGCAAAAAGCCGAAAAGTGCAACCAGTAACAAGGACATGACATTGAAAACGAGTCCGGCAAAGAAAGTCGAGCCAGGAATGCAACGAATCACGAATTTCTTCACCAAGTAATAATATGTTTGAGCCTCAATGACGGCTGGTCACTCCTCTAGAAGGCCCTTATCGCGCGCCAGGTATGTTGCCATATCCTCGCTGAGTTGGACGTCAATCCATTTTCCGCCAGCCTCCTTACGGACAGTCCGCAAATATCGCGCCACAGACTCTGCAGTGCTTCGGATCTGATCGAAGTGTTCTCGCTCTTTCTTGTACCGATACAGCCTGCGCTCGGCCTCTACATCGTCGTCCTGTGCAGGGGACCCGTGTCCAATTGCAGAAGGACGAACGGGTCTCCATCCAACTTCTAGAACCAGCTTCTCCAGCCCGCGCCAGCCGCTGTTCCATTCGGGACCAATTTTTTCCCTATGATGAGAAAATGGTTGCATTGTTCGAGTGGTGTAAAAGGGAGAATACAAGGAACCGGTAGTGGTGGCAGGAGAGGGGCTCCATTCCAACGCGGCAAACCAATCCCCACAACCCGTGAGATCCAACCATTTCAAGCAGTACAGTGACCGGCTCAGTGTCCGGAGTATCCCTGCCGCTTCTCGCCAGTTATTGTCAAACGATGTATACATATCCGATCCGCCGTACACAACCGATCTAGAACCGGGGATTTTGACTACAGCTCGTGTTGATGCGGCGTTTGGTGTGAATGTAGGTTGAGGCCAGTATGCGAGCGACAGAGAGGTCAACGTGCTTAGTTCAGTCGCGAGGGACAGCAAAGAAGACCACGACGCGGCCTTGGCGTTTGATGGGGAGAGGGCGAGGGACAGATGCCTCAAGTTCTTGAAATTGTGGATGGGTTTGGGAAGTGAACCTCCTGCCGGAGTGCCTGTAACGGCATTACCGGCCGCGTCAGCGTCCCAACTGTCGGGCGTGGTATCCGATGTTGCAACTTGAGTGTCCATCATCGCCTCAACCGACACAGGGCCAGTATTTTTGACTAGTAGATCCCTCTCTAGCTGTTTAAAAGTCGTCCAAGCTCCCAAGGCGTTGCTTAAATCCAGCCTCCTCACATCTGCCCTCTCTTCGCTGTCTGTTTCATGTAGAAATAGGACCCTCAAGGGGTTAGTCGTAATTTCTTCGCCATATACCGCAATGTAACTCAATAGCGTCTCCTTGAGTGAGGTAGGCAGACACTCGAAATAGTCGAGGTCATTCTCTGCGTGCCATTCCCAATTGCATGCCATCTTCTTCAACACGAGATGATAGAGGGAGGTGGTAGAGGGAAATGCTCCCTCAGGCAGGTTACTCGACCGAACTTGAATGCGACCATTTCCTGTGTCCGTGTCACCGGCAAGAGACGTCGAGCGGACAGAGGCGGGGGCGCGGATGCTGTCCGTGAGCCAACTTTGTGGTGGAGGGGGCCCAGGGATGCGCCGGAGTCGACTTGGACCTGAACCGCCGACCGCTGCGCGAGAGCCAAATCCATATCGCGGGGCAGGTGTGGGTGGTATGGGGAGATCGAGGACTGTCCTTAGAGAGGGGTGAATAGAGGGTGCGTTGGTGGATGGCGGAGGAGTTCTCGTGTCATTTCTCAATTGCTGGCGGCGAGACTCTCGGATGAGGTCGTTGACGGTGCGCTCCGTGGCTCCATTTTGAGGTCTGGATGTCTGGGACTTTGAGAGGGACAGGGTCGGAGGACTGCTGGATTGCGGCTTGATGAATAGCACTCGTTTCTGGTGTTTCTTGGGCATATATTCAATGTTGACGGTATTCTGGACAAGCGGAATCCATGAAGACAAGGCAAGATAGAATACCTAGTACATATCTCGTTGCATTGCAAGTACATAACAAGTAGTACACAGTGCTATGGAGTCATGACGGGCGAAGAGTCTTTGCCACTCATTTCGTCTGGGATGGTATAGCACGTGCGCGCCAAGCTCAGGCAATCGGCGAGGCGGCGAGGCGGGCACCCTTCCGGGACCAATGACCAGTATTACCTACCAGTAACAAAGTAATTACGGAGTACTTGTTACAAGTATGCCAAAAACATTGGGCTATGTGCTTGGGTTAGGGCATGCCAAGCCCCTAACGTAAAACATCACCCCTGCGCCTCACACTGTTCAATGAGCGATAACTGGCGCAAGCCGGCCCGACTTTCGTCTACTTGGATCTCAACAACTACGTTGTCCTGGCCCCCCTTCTGTCTCGGAGCAACTTCGTCTCACTGCAAGCGGTTGATGGAGGAGAGAGACGCGGAGCTTTAAGATGCAGAACAGACAGTGTCTGTATCGACAGCGCGACCGCACATTCACGGTCAGTGCAGAGTACCGCCGTGAGAACAGCCTGCGCATAAGAGTTCTAGTTGACAATATCTAGGGATGTAGGAATTGCCGTCAACGGAAAGTAAAGGTAATCTAGACCCACCGTGGCCACCAGAACTGACTCCGAGGCTGACAACGTCCACAATAGTGTGACGAGAAACAGCCCCGATGCTCCACCTGTGTCCATAAGAGTCTTTTGTGTGACTACACAGCAACTCTTGTCTGGGTCAAGGACGATGGAAGTCACGACGTGTCGTTTTGGAGACGCTACAGGAGCTGTGGTTTGCTGATGTCTCGCGCGAATCGAGTGTGTGCTGACCTGCAATAGAGGAGACCTGGAAAGGCATTCCCGTTCTCGATTTAAAACTGGTGGACTGTCTGATATCGCAATGTGATCTGGACCAAGCTGTGAAATCTGAAGGTGTCTTCCACGTCTTCTCTCAAACTCCGGCGTATAACCCATTTACAGCCTTTCGAGTTGATGGCCCAGTTTCTGGAAATGCCTTGTTACCCCTCAGCCCTCTCAGGAGGCTCGACTATGACCCTCTGAGCTGGATGTCTCCCACTCGAGAAGAAAGGTTGCTCTTTGATCACTATGTCAAACACGTCGCCGTAATCATGATGCCATTTGAGCATCCCAGGAACCCATGGAAGTCCTTGTACCCCGCCGGGGCCATCGACCATACGTTGAAGACTCAAAAGCCCCTTTTCAATGCCCTTTTAGCCCAGGCCGCCTTTAATATGGCTCACCTAACTGTTTCCAGAAACAAGAGTATGGAAGTGGCATCGAAGTACTATGGCTCCTCCATAATGCAACTTCGAGAGATCTTAATGAACTCGGAGCTTTGCGCCAACACCTTGACGGTGGTATTGACCCTAATGATGGCTGAGGTAACGAAAGAGTCATTTCAAGGAATATCTTGTTGATCTAACTGGCCTGGTAGGTCTATAGCGGCCAATCTAGGAGCTGGAGACATCACCTCCAAGGGGCATGGGGTCTTTTCCGAAATTTCCGAGCTCAAATCCCGTGGATAGATTCTGAACTCGCCTGTGTATCGCTACAGAGCCTCTTCATTATCAGTCTGGTCGGAGATACGAGCCGTCTCGACGACGACCTCGTGGCTGACAAAGGGGAACTTGCCCAGAGCGAATCTGGTTACACAACATCTTTGCCTCACAATAACGGAATAATAGAAGCAGACACCGAATCATCAGCCACATTGCAAGACCAAGAGTCAGTCTCCATGATCACATCAACTCTTGATTTCGGCTTCACGATTGGTGCAACACAGGAGATCTTGGACTGTATATCCTGCATTAATGACATGAACCGGGTCAACAAATGGTCCGGACTAAATGTTAACAATTATCGAACTCTCCTTGGTCGTTTAGATGCTTGTCGGGCAAGCCTGGCGGACAAGTCATCAAGAGTTGGTGGTGTCTTGGACAAAGCTGCCTACTATCAACTTGGAGCCTTTGTCGCTGCCACTTATATTTACTTCTACAGGAGCTTCTTCGACCTGTCTCCAATGGAGTTGCACACTTATATTGTCGAGACTTTCAGCTATGTCAATTTCTTTATTTCTGGAAATTACGGCAACTTCTCTCTTTGGCCTGCCTTCATCGCTGCTGTCGAAGCATACTCGGACGAAACCATGTCCATGGCGAGAGAGTGGCTAGATACTGCCATGAGCTTTGGCCTTGGCAGTCGAGTCCTGGTGAGAAAGGTTATTGAAGAGACCTGGCGCAGAAGAGACATCATTTCGCGAGAAATAGGCATCGACAAGGGCCTTGTCGCGGTGGATTGGAGACGAGTGATAAAGGACTGGGACGTAGACGTCTTATTGGTCTAAACACGTCCAGGAAGATATATTTCAACCCAAGAGTGCTTTGTCATATCAAGGCAACCATCATGCGGCATTACATGGTTTGCTGAACTCTCTAGGATCTTCAGGACTTGGTTAACCCTCGCGCCAACAATCCAAGACCGAAGCCTCTACACATGCCGATCCTCCTCAAACGTCACCAGCCCAGGCTCTGATGGAAAGTAACCATATCATCAACCGTGGCCGGCCTTTGAATCTCTCATTGAGATTCACGTGAAACAAGGAAGTAAAATCGTCTCATTCAATCATCTAAGGGTGCGGTAGGGACGACCCGGGACTATTCTTGCATGAGGAGAGAGTCCGTAACAGACTATTGCGAGGGCTCTAGCCGTGGCGCGATTTAGGTGGCTAGTGTGACCATTGGAATCCCTTTGCTAATCTCAAAACCTCTGGTCTGATGTCGATATGAATCACCCGGTAGGCTTGTCTCGGAAGCAACACTTAGGCTCCAAAAACGGCCTTAATCCTACCATGTCTTATAAGGAAGAAAAGGAAAAGATTCCCGGTCTGCATCCCTATAGGTGCAGGCCTGTGCAAAGCCCCTCGACTAATTCTCCTGGGTGCAATTCTTCCCGTTCCCGAGTCGGCGAAACTTGCATCTCGATCCAAATCGGGAATAGTTTCAGGACTTCATACTTTTGTGCTTCATCGATAGCCACATCGAGGGCATCAAGGGTGATAGAAGTGTCCCTATCAAAAAGTCGCTGCCGCCGCTACCCCAAGTCTGGTTGGGTAGTGGTGCTTTCCGGGATAACATGCCTGAGTGAAGCAATGTGGTAAGTCACAGCTATCAAGCTTGTCGTCGTGACGAAGTACATATACCACCCTGAAGGCAGGATGGGACGGGCTCGGATTCAAGTTGACACACATCGCCCTCCTGCCTCGTTCATCATTGATTCTGACGAGAAATGTTGCAACCAACTGTGCTTTCGACACGTATCTCTCCAGCAATCCTTCAGTTGACTCTCAATCGACCTGCGTCACTAAACGCCATCAACGCTGGTTTGCTCGAGGAGCTTGTGACTTGCCTCAAGAATGCAAACAACGACCCAGACGTGCGCATCATCATCCTTCAAGGCTCGGGGTCGCGATCCTTCTGCGCGGGTGAAGATCTGAAGGAGTCTCTGGTCTCCGGGAGAGGGTCTTGCGAAGAACTTCAGACTGCGTTCGAGAAGCTCCAAGACATCACTCGATTGACGTCGAGCACAAACAAACTGATCGTCACCGCTGTCCAGGGCTATGCTGTTGGAGGAGGTGCAGAGATTGCCCTGGCCGCTGATTTTGTGATTGGAGGGCCCAATGCCAAATTCAAGTTTCCAGAGGTCACCATCGGGCATGCAGTCACTGGAGGGATCTCACTTCGGCTGTGCCAGATGGTCGGGCTACTTAAAGCCAAGGAATTGTTGCTTCGTGGACTACCCCTTGATGCTCAAGAAGCGCTTCGACTGGGACTTTTGACCGAGCTCGTCGAAGACCCAAAGGAGAGAGCGATTCAACTCGCATTAGAACTCGAGAAGCTACCAGCCAAAGCATCCAGTTGCTCGAAAACAGGCCTAGAGAAAGCGGTGTTTCCGAACATGGAGGAAGTCCTCCGTGACGAAGTGCAAGCCGCAAACTTTTGCTTCGCCCAGCCAGACGCACAGCAAGCCTTTCGAAATTTCCGAGAGAGGCGTCTTTCTGACCCGGAGGAGATGGCCTTGCGTGATGCGGCAGGGGGCGACGTGAACACGAGCCCAAAAGGAACACGTTCAATTCTTGATGGTGATAGCACGCTGCCGAAAGACCTTAACGCAGTCTTGCAGATCGCCCTTCAAGAGTTTCCGCAAAGGACATTCATTCGATTCGAAGGGCGAGATACTTCCTTCCAACAATTCACCAATTCAGTCGCCCAGCTCGCAGGTGGTCTGAGACATCTAGGTGTCGGTCCGGGTGACAGGCTCCTGGTCATGATGAGAAACAGCCTGGAGACAGTCCATACCTGGTTTGCCACTAACAGACTGGGAGCCACTTGGGTTCCAGTCAACGTGGAGCTAAAATCCATCACCCTCCAGCATGTCGTCTCTTCTGTTCGACCAAAGCTGGCCATTGTTGATGCCGAGTTTGTCTCACACATCGAGGGAACCAAAGTGTTCTCGGAGAGCCAGATCTATGTCAAGAACGGGGTCAATAGCGACGAGAACAGCCTGTCTGCTCTCTATCACCTTGGTCGAGTCGAGGATGCTGTGCCGGTACTACCGTCGACTCCCGCAGCATTCCTTTACACGAGTGGTACAACTGGCCCATCCAAGCCTTGCATCCTGTCTCATCAATATTTCATCCTGCAGGCGACGGCATTGATCGAAGGCTTTGGCCTTCGTCAGGACGATGTGCTTTACTGCCCATTCCCGTTGTTTCATGTCGACGCTACCGCCTTGACTACAGTTCCTGCCCTGCTCCTGGGCGCAACGGCTGCGTTCTCTGTCCGCTTCAGCGCGAGTCGCTTCTGGGACGAGATCCGAGTAAGCAAGGCCACCGTCTATGACTTCATGGGGGCCACTCTCGCGTTGGTCTACAAGCAGGAACCCAACCCTCAGGATCGGAATCACAATGTGCGATTAGCGTGGGGCGTGCCCATTCCTGACTTCGGCAAGGACTACGAGCAGAGATTCGGGCATCCGCTGCTGACACTGTACGGAAGCACTGAGGCCAGCTTGCCCATCATGCAGAAGGGAGCAACTCTGCCTGTCGGTTCCTGTGGACGCTTACGACCGGGCTTTTACCTTCGGATTGCCAACGACTTTGACGAGCCACTTCCGGCAAACACTCCCGGCCAGCTCTTGCTGCGGAGCGAAAAGCCGAACGCATTTTTCCAAGGCTACTACGGCAACGACGAAAGCACCCTCAGATCGTTCGCAAACCTATGGTTCCACACGGGCGACCTGGCAAAGGTGGACGAGCACGGCAACGTCTATTTCCTGGGCCGCATCAAGGACGTGATCCGCCGACGCGGCGAGAACGTCAACGCCGCCGAGGTCGAGGCGGAGTTCCTCAAGCACCCTGCCGTAGCCGCCGCAGCGGCCTTTGGCATCCCCTCGGCCCTAGGAGGCGCGGGAACAGAGGAAGACGTCAAGGTCACGGTTGAGCTGCGCGCTGCTGAGAAGGTGAGCGAGGCGGAGCTATGGCGCTGGGCGACGGCCAACATGGCGCGGTTCCAGGTCCCCAGCGTGATCCAGATTGTGCCAGTCATCAAGAAGACACCGACGGGGAAGGTAGAGAAGCAAGCGCTGACCGTGGAGGGAGGGCAAAGATTTGGGTTCGTGAGGGAGTCCAAGCTGTAATACATACCTACCTAGGCATTGTCTGTCCCGTAGTTAGGTTATGTAGGTAGTTATGATGAATCGGTGAAGATCAGCACTCAATGAGTGGACTCAATGCAAACTATATATACTCCGTATCTCGTCAGCTGTTCTTCCCATTGTCAACAAACAGACAGGGAGATCGGGGAGTTATGAAGGACGAAATAACATATTGGGAGTTCAACCCTCGGCGCTCTTCGAAGAAACAATAGAGCAGGGGACATCTGCAGAGGCTTCCTGCTCAATAGTCTCCTTGGCAGATAGGGCCTTTCGTGCACGACGAATATAATATAGGGAGGAACAATCGAGGAGAGTGACGCATGGAAGAGTAAGAGTCAAGACTCGTAGTAGTTTAATGCTGTTTATACAGAGCAGTACTCCCCCATTTCCCTATTGAGACGTGACTCGGGGCTGTGAGTATTGGGAGGGTTCCTGCGCCCGCTAGGAACCCTAGGTCATGTCAATGCTCGAGGTATCCCCCTCCGCCCCAGAAACGCTTCGTGTTTTCTCAAAATTCTGTTGCCATAACTCCGAAGACTCCTCCATCCCCGTTCCGGTCAAACGGGCTCCAATGTCACAGGTCGGCTTGGTAAATAATCTCTCTTTGGGCTGCTGTGCGAGATAGGACCTTTGTTTGGTTCTTTTCACGTCGCCGGGCTTTGGATCGCAATGATACAGATTGTATCTCGTTGACTCGGAGATTGCGAAGCTGCTCAATGCCTGAGCTTGCGAATTTCGGGCTTGAACTGATGGTAGGAGGTTATCTGGGCTCTCCCCATGCCAACATTCATTTCTGCTGGCTGTGAAAAGGAGCTACAAAGGCAAGGAATGTTTCCTGAGACCGGGCGAAGCGGGCGTGGCGTATATTGACTATGACAAGTGTCGAATTGACCCCCTCTAGAATCCAGGCGGGTTGAGTCTCTGACTGACTCTTGTCCATTTCGGCAGCTCTGAAAACATTCGTCAGCAATGGGTACGAGGAGATGTGAAGCTCGTCAGGAGACATACTGTGAATACCCTTTCTGTATTTCTTTTCCTTACGATCAAAAATTGTGTATTTGTCCTTTGGCAGCATCTCTTCCTCTCGGGGCATCTCCCGGTACCATCTCTCGACTGCCTTCGCCGTCATTCCGCCATTGTTTTGCAGTGCAGTGCTGACCGTGTCGACGACCTTGTCGACCATTTTTAACCGCTTTCGTTGGCGTGCTTTCTGCATTGAAGAGAGGCGCCAGGGGATTTTCCTGCAAACAAGAAAGATTCAATTAGCATTAGCGGACAGCTTAACAGTTCCAGACCTGTGAAAGACGCACCATAGAAGGCCTCCTGCCAGGGAAGAAGTCGGTCTGAACATGATGGCCGGAGCCCAGGGGGAAAAAAAAGTGAGCTGGTTGAGCTGCTCCGGACTGATGTAGTCAAAGGTTGAGTTTTGGGTGTTGCGAGAGGTATAGCAGGAGAAATCGGAGGAAATGTTGCCGCGTCTCACTCCGCAGCTTCAGAAAAAAACCCGCCGAACTGCGAACTGCGCGGCAGCCAACAACTCCGGCACGACGCCTCCAGCAGTCATGGATTGATGCGAATAGAAAGACATCTACGGGGCGGCTTGACTTCCCTCTCGTCCTCCTCCTTCAGCAAGACTCCATGGACTTCTTCGTCTCCGGTCTCCTCCCGCTCTATAGCACCAATGCCCTTCCGCCGCGATGACCCCAACCTCTACCAAAACCTCGAGGCGCCGAGCTTCTTCTGGCGCGGTGCCTCATACCAGACCATCCTCGCCGTCGCCACCCTGTCGCGTCTGTTCCTCTACACGCTCAACAAAACCGAAGTCCATGGCCTACCTCGTTTTCTCGACCTCTTGAAATCGCGCGTCGACTACAGAACGCGTCGCCGCGGCCTGTTGACCGTCTCGAACCACATCTCGGTCCTCGACGAGCCCTTGATATGGGGCGTCCTCCCCATCTCCTTCGCCGCCTTCCATGGCTACATGAACCACCGCTGGAGCTTGGGTAGTCATGACATCTGCTTCAAAAATGCCTTTACCTCTCACTTCTTCACACTGGGACAGGTTCTCCCCATTCACCGCGGCGCACACTCCCCTTTCGGTGGACCCTATCAGGCTACCATGACCGAAGCTGTCCGCCTCCTGTCCAAGATCTCGGCAAAAAGCCAATCGCTCTGTCCGCTAAGCAACCCGCGCTTTCACAAGGATTGGAAACCTCCTCAGTGGCCCTGGGATTGCGTGGATCCGTTCTCCGACGTCTCTCCTCCGCCCTCCTACCCGTCTCAGCCCTCCGATGTGAGATGGTACCTCGCCCCATCCCGCTACGCAAGCAACTCTTACAGCTGGGTACATATCTTCCCCGAGGGGATGATCCATCAAGCCACTGACAAGACAATGCGCTATTTTAAATGGGGTGTGGCGCGACTCATTCTCGAGCCGCCAGAGTGTCCCGACGTGGTGCCCATGTTCATTGAAGGGACCGATCAGGTCATGCACGAAAGCCGATCATTTCCACGCTTCGTGCCCCGGATCGGAAAGAGAATCTCTCTGACGATCGGGCGGGAATTGGATGTCGAGGCCGTCTTTGGCGACTTGCGCAAGCGCTGGAGAGATCTGGCGGACCGGCATGCCCGTGAAGCCGGACTGCCTGGATGGGACGAGATGATCCTGGGCCTTGTGCCGGAGAACTTGGCGAATCACCCTGAGGCCGTGGAATTGAGAATGGAGTGTGCAAAACGTGTCCGTGACGCGGTTCTCGAGGTCAGAAGGTCAAGGGGTTGGCCGGATGAAGACCCAAAGAATGGAGTGGTTGAGACCTGGGCGAGAGAGGGACCGAAGCGTGAAGGGCTGATGGAGGATGGCACTTGGGTCAAAGATACCTAGAGGTAGAGATGGCGCCTTAGAGGCCTCTGTGGTATTTGTGGGTGCATGGCTGCCTGGGTCGTACATTCGATTGGCGGGAGAAGCGTCGACATGGCCGTTTTCAATGCATACATTCTGTCCCTCCTTCCAATCTTCGACAACGGAGGCTTTCCACCCCATAGACCGTCGAATGCAGACAGACAGCTTCAGGGCGCACCCACTCGATCTTGACTGCATGAATGAAACCCCCCCTTCAGAAGAGGCTCCTCGAATCTTCTCGTCTATCTACATTTGCAGTACATTATCTCGAATCCTGTTAAACCCAACAGTACTAGGCAATCCTGCAAAAGTACGCCGTGGGTCGAACAAACATGGTGTACCCAAGGCTGTAACTCGATGAAGGCATCCTTGTTCTCGCTCAACTTTGCCGAGCCCTGCTGCTAGCGCTGATGACCGAATCCAACATGCTCCGCCCAATTGAACCACCCAGCCTTGGCCTCACTTTCCCCCCTCTACTTCCGGTTCCATTTGCTGATGCCTGGGATGTAGACTTGGTAGTTCGTCTTATTCGCCCTCCACCTCCACATACTCAGTGTGAGTGCTCAAACTCGCATCCACTCAAGGTCGGTGGCACAAGTCTCCTCAGAGGGGAATGCCTCCTCAGAAGATGTGGTCGATGCGGGAAACCATTCTCGGACTCGGTCATTCTTTTCCTCGAGGTGGCGTCGTCCAACGTCGCCAAAAGAAGTTGTCACATACCCCTTCGTGTTCTTCAAGGTTGTCGCCCCGAAGAGCTCTTTTTCTCTGGTCTTCGCGCTGTCGTCCTGCTCCACTCGTGGAGAATACTTAGTTCCACCCCTGTCTACTTCGATCTTAAACAACTCCTCAGATTCAGGTGATGTTTTTGTTTCATTTCGAGCTTTGAGCTCGGCGCATCTGCGTTGTGGAGGATTGCAGTCGAGAGGGCCTCGTGTGGTCTGGAGATTCCTTCCTTGCATGACCTGTGGAGGCCCAACGTTTTCACTGACGAAGTGTGATTGTGTGCGGGAACACTGTTGTTTTCGACAACGCTGGTAGGCAAGCCGGTAGCTTGCTGGCTCTCACTGGCACATGCTTCACCATCCACATTTCGTTGAGGAATGCCAGGAGTCCTTCTCGCAACAACCAGGGGAACAGCTTCAGCTTCCAACTTCCCTCTTTCGGAACTTATAACGCACCTCTGGGAGCCTCGCCCAACCGAGACCATTCAAGGGAAAGCGATTCGAGCCCACCCTAGATACCATTTCCCATCGACAACCACCAAACATTCCTCCAACGCGCTCATAGATTCTCCGCATAAGAATCACCTCCAAGAAGGTAAATGATGCTCCTGAGACGGCGGATCTCCGCTTCGGCTGCCTCAGCGTGTTCCTGTCTTCGCTGACGAAACTTTCCCGGCTCAGGATCGTGGGACTCTCCGTCGTCTGACAGTCTCCTTCTGTTTCGTTTTCGTCCCTAGACTACTGTTGAGTATTTCAAACAGCCCGGTGGGATCACGGGGGCGCTTACAGGATTCAGTAGAGTTAAGGGATCTGGCCTTTCGCCGTCAATGCTGTTGGCAAATAGCTGCGTAGGCGGAGGCCGGCCAGCTGTCGCAACAGCCTCATGCTGGTCTCCGTCAATCCCTGGCAGCCGCACTGGTAAAGCGTAGGTGTTTTCAATATCTCGCTTAATTATGTCGAACGGCAGCATGTATATCCAGGGCAATCCTCCCTCACAACGAGAACTACACCACAAGGTTGATCCGCATGGACCACCCATACTTCTGAGCATCCTGGCGGAATAGGTTGATCTGCCGTCACCAGATGTAGATCAAATACTTGTGTGCCGACCCTGTGAATGACCGGTCCAGACCTGAGAGTGCCAGCTATGTCCCCATCTGGCACAGCAATGACAACGGGTACATTCTCACCGGCGACATGGGTGTAGAAGTCGGTGATAACGTTCGCTCCGATTTCATTGCGACATAAAAAGCCTTGATCGATGCTTCCGTTTCATTGGGAATTTCGAATGCAGCCCAATCAGCAGCAGGACTGTCATACGTCGGAACGAAAGTCATTGCTGTCGCATAACAGGCATGACCCAACAGAACGGGAAACCTGCGTGACTGGGACGAAGCCTGGAAAAAGCGACCTTGGTTCTCGGAGCTCCTGGGAGGCGATTTGCCAGAGATCCACACATCTTCATCTGAAGCGTCGAAGACCACTTCTCTTATGGCTCGGGGTCTACAGAGTCTTCGTATCTGTCGCTGCCATTTGAGTTCCATGGGATATAAAATGGACCATCGTCTTCACTAGCGGTGTCGTCCTCGTCCTCGTCTTCGTCCTCATCTGAGCTTCCACCCTGATTGGACTCTTGGCCAAATCAGGGTTATTATGCGGAAATGGATGCGACGCAGTCAGCCCGAATAATCTGTCCCTATGAGGATTGTGCCTCCAAAGACACACGATTACACTTGCCACCTTCTCTGCATGAGCTCAATCTTTGAGCCGCAAAATGAGGGTCCAGGTAAACGGCAACGGAGACAGATACGCAAATCATCGCTGGGCCAGGCTTGTATGTCAGCCCCCCGGCGCGTTTGCTAGAGTTGACCAGTACCCAAAGATCGCACCTCAGCTTTTACAAGATGCATTGCACTTGTTCGGATACGAGACGTTTTTTGATCAGCTTCCTCGTCTTTGGACTGGATGTTGTGATGAAAATGCAGCTCTTCCTTTTTGGCACCAGCTTATGTGAGTTGTAAGAGGTAGTCGTGAGGCTGCCGCGAGCCTCGCCGATGCTGGAAGCATAGGTCCATCTCCTGATCCAGCTGCATTCGCAGGCTTTCATCTGATTCGCTCCAAAAGTCCGGGTGATCGAAGCTATCCCATCGTACGTATATCTATTCGATGACGACGAGTACAAGATCTTTGGGGAACGAACTTAAATCTTTGGGCGGTGCGACAGGCGCCTCTGGGATTGCTCAAACTCCTGAAACGGGGGGACCTGATCGGCTTTAGCAAGGGGACGATTTGGGAAGAGTGATATCACCCTCTTCGCAAAAATGTCCCGTAATCGCGAGTTTTTCTATTTTCCCCGGAATCCTCTTTCTTCCCTCAGCAAGATGCACTGAACCATTGACGAATAGCGAACAAATTGTCGTAGTTTTGAGCATTCCCAGGGCTGTCCGCTCGGCTAACTGAAAGTGGTGTTTCTTGTTCGGCATCGTGAGATTTCATGAGCGAGTGTTGAGCCGGTTGATTTGCTTTTACATTGTGAATTTCTACGTGAGGTGTTGGCCCGCCAGTTAAGCGGTTGTCCAGACAAGAGGTGGTGTCAAAAGGACATCGCTTTTGGCCTAAGGAAACCCCGTCCGGCGCCGGGGCGCTCGCAAAGAGAAGTAGGGTCTGAGCCACTGTCATTGCATTGAGAGCATATGCATTTAATAAGAACGAGTCAAAATGAGTTCTCAGTCTGCGCACACGCCACAAAAACCGCTCATCCAGGCAACGCTGAAAAGAGAAACGTGTAACTTGCATCAAGGCTAAGCTTAGGAAAGAGAAGAGGTTAATGAGATCAACGAGGCCGCTGCTGATAGATGGCCGAGCCCAGTGTTGCACTGCTGACTCTCAGGCGCCATGGTTGCCAGCACTGCCTTCTAGGCTGAAAGTGTTGGGTGTATCAATCAGCTGCATACCCGGTACCGTGGAAGAGCCTGCCGATTTGCCGGGAACAAACGCCAAAGGAGCCTTCATGTCTCAGCCACTAACCCAGTACACAGCTGGCGAGGCTGGCTTAGAACGGGCTCATTAGTGGAAGACTGCGGCGACCGTGTTGAAGGCTGTGAAGATTAGACGAGCAACGAGGCAGAAAACCATGTTGTTTGGTGCGTGTGGGTGACATGGAGGCTGCGACCCACCACGGCTGGGCAATGGCGTCCTTTCTGCCCTCTCCTAGCCAGCCTTACGGCTAGACAACATATATTCATGCCTCAAGTCATGCTGCGACCGCAAGTGTCTTGCTAATGATCGCGACCAATTCTCTACCTCACTACCCCGATGTCTCATGCTTCTCATCTTCTCGATGCACCTAGCCCAAGCGACAAGGCTGACATCGTGCGAGCATGCTTTGGCGTCGACATGGGTAAGAACCACATCCAAACGGCGGAATATGAGGAGTTCTCCGTCTACCTGGCAGAGCAGACGACTTGGCTTCAAAAATTGCATGGACCAGGAGGCAAACAGGCTTGGTTTCTCCCTCTTAAGACCCAGCAGGAGCTTCTCAAGGTCATAACAATCCTGCAACAGCACGGGGGCTCCATCAGACGAACCCAGATCTGAGACCATCAAATGCGAATTCAATTGGGACTTGATACAGATTCGTCCTGAGGTCCTGAACCCCATAACTGATGCCACGCAACGTCTTTGGCTATTGGTTAATTTTCTAGATCCAAAACATCGTGGTATAACTGGAGGCCAGAGCTGCGTCGAGTGGGATGATGAGACCACGTTGAGTGGGACAATAAACGGCTTGTTCGTCAAATCCGAGACAAAATTGACGCTGAGCCAGCGCCGCCTACACCCTCACTCCACAGCCCCGAACATGGTCAGGATCTGTCGAATAAGATCGAATGGACCTCGAGTTTGGAGAACCAAATTCGCCTAGATCGAGAGTGTAGGAGGCTTTGGGTATTTGACCGCAAATGTCTCCTTTTATTAAAAGCAAAATCTGCCTGTGCATCCAAGTAAGTTGCGAAGCACTGCTTTTGTATTCACACCCTCATGGATGGAGAACCTTGCTTCAATCAGGGCAAAGCCACCCAAATGAGATCCACCCAATCCCGTTTCCTAGGGACTTCTACGAGGAGACCAGCAGAACCGTCGATCTCCTATTCCCTTCTTGGGATAGCAAAACGCAGCGACTCTTAAACGGTAGCGGGGAAAGCTTGCACACTCATTGTGCAAAACCGAGGTCCTTGGACTTGAGGAACTATCCCTTCTGGACGGATGGACTACTGGAACTCAACGAGGATGTCTTTCTGGCACCCGCAGAAGGACGGGCGCAACTTTGGCTAGACAGGCGCGATCTTCATAAGTTCTGAACTTTCCGGATCGCGCTGGCAATCTTCATGTTGACGATAGTGTCTACCGTGACTTCGATAGTCCAGACCTGGGTGACGATCAGGTCGATGAACGAGAGTTAAACAAATGTTTGTTGGACTCAACGATTATGATTATGGTCACACTATATGTATATCAAACAGGCTGTACGCAAAGGCCCGTCGGGGTCAGTATGAGACAGGCTATATGTGTATTTACAGTAATGTATCTTATATAACATGGTGCCTTGCAGTCCGAGAAAACCGAAACTTCTCGGGCGGTACTACTCTACGCAGTGCGGTTCGCAAGTATACAAGTACATCTACTACATACCACGTAAGGAGAAAAGGGAAGCTGGGCAAGGCCACTTGTCCCAAGGCCCTAGTGGGAGAAATTCTTAGGCTTCCGGCTACCCACATACACAGAGAGAGAGAGAGAGTGTGTGTGTGTGTGTGTGTGTGCGTGTGCGTGTGCGTGTGCGTGTGTGTGTGTATTATGAAGCCTCTGCTGATGTATCCTATCACGTTATCATAGCATCAGGCATAGGTGGATGGCCAACCAGCATAGTGTCAGATACTAGGAGGAAATTGAACTTGTGGATTATCTGACTGAGGGTGAGCTTGACTAACTATATACCTGGACCTGGAGGCCATACACGACGAGGTTGGGCATGTCCCGTGATGTCCTGACATTTCGAAGGGACGCCGTAGATAGGAAAATGTGACATACGAGATGAGCAAAGGACCTTGAAAAACATTCCAACACAAACGCCTTCACCAAACACCCTTAAGTGAACCAGGTCGGCTTACTCAAAGGCCTCCTTGACGATCTCCATCTCCCGTTACAATGCCCGGCATGTGGGCGACAAGCTCATCCTCGGATCCCAATAGGTCCTCGTCTATTACAACTCCCCCTGAATCCATAGCCCGGTCCTGTTCCCGTTCTCGGGCCAAGGTTTCAAGCAACCTTGCGTGCTCTTCCTTTGACGGGTTTCTGTACGAAATGTACCGACCCGGTAGGGGGTTCTTCTCGCTGGAGATCTTCATGCCGCCTGCGAAGCCCCAAGTCAACAACTTAGCTCTATTAAACACACACACCATTTGCTTCCCACTTACCTTCCTCTTTGATTTGATAGTCAATTCGAACCACATTCATTAGCTTGTCCCCAACGAATCGCTTATTCATGCGGAGCATGTATCCGTATTTTTCATTCGACGGCGAGGACCCGATTCTCGTCCATTCGTTAGGCCTTCGCATATAGTCTATGAGCTTGACCTCAAATGTTGTATCGGGGTGTGAAACTTCACTGAATACAATCTTCAAGCCATCCTCCCCTTCCTCAAACGGCTTCAAGCTCTCGGAACAATCCAATTCCAGAATTTTTGTTTCCTGGTCCCAAGCATAGCTGGGTACAACACTGTGGATCTGCAACTCAATCGGGCAGTACTCAACATAGAAGCCTCCAAGGCGATAGTCCATATAGGATCGGTAGCTGAAGTTGTCAAATTTGTTTGGGACTATAATCCACTGTGACTGTGCATGCGGATTCTCCGTTGCGAACGGATTGTAGTCGGGATTTAGAATGCGGAAGACCTCATCCGCATCAACACGTGCGTACTCATTCGGGCCGATTTTCCGCAGACGAACGCAATGAAACCCTCGGCCAGCGTCGACCACAATTCCGAAGAACTCAGGTTCCCGGCTGCCAGGTACTTCAGTCAACGGCAAATCAATCTCGAGGCCACTTTGAGTCACTTCAAAACGGCCGTATTTTGCTCCCAGATCGTAGTCATGGAATGAGGCAAACTCTGATGGAGCACGTGCAAAGAGGTTACGGAAAGAGGTGTGGGATTTTTCTATTGCTGTCCAGAGAAATATGCTTCTGTCATTGTTGTTCTTGATGATTTCGTGTTGCAAGCGGAGGAATGCCCGTTCGCCTTCGCCGTACAACAGTGGCATGTTGATGTCAAAGAGTCCGAGCAAGCAATAGGCCTGATCTTCTACTCGAGTAGTTGTTCGTTTGGCTGCCCAGTTCATGCGTTCGGCCACTAGAGTTCTTCCGAAGTCACCTCCAAGTAAAATTGTTGAGGGGATATCCGTTCTTCGTGCAATTGCCTGGCACAATTCTCGCTTCGTTCCAATGCGTCTCCAATCCGTGGTGTAGAAGACTGTATTTCGAGGCGCAATC